CAATGCATGGGCAGGGGGTGGAAACGGTAGGTTTTCCCGACCCAGGTGTGGCTACAGATGAAAAGCTGGAGCTCTCCTCTGAGACACCAAGTTTGTCCAGCCAGGGAGTTATGACCAAAAAAATCCTAATCTTCAAAACATCAGCCTCCCACCACCATCTCCACAGGATGATGATGAAGTGAAGACGACGCCCATATCCATCAAAGACTAAATCAATAGCTCCGTTCAACTGTATTAGTCTCCCATTGCTGCTATAACAAATTACCACAAACCTAGTGGTGTAAGACAACACAGATTTATGATGTCAAGTTCAGGATGGCAGAAGGCCAACATGGGTTGTTTTTCCTTTTTTGCAACCTAGTAGTACAAGGCTCACCATAAATGCAGGAAAAAAAATGAGTAACAAGTTACTCTATTTCTTTTTTTTTCTTTTTTCTTTTTTTTTTTTTTTAAAGAGACAGGGTCAGGCCAGGCATAGTGGATCACACCCATAATCCCAGCACTTTGGGAGGCTGAGGCAGGCGGATCACCTGAGGTCAGGAAGGCAAGACCAGCCTGGCCAACATGGCAAAACCTGGTCTCTACCAAAAATACAAAACTTAGCTGGGCATAGTGATATGTGCCTGTAGTCCCAGCTACTCCAGAGGCTAAGGCAGGAGAATCACTTGAACCTGAGAGACAGAGGTTGCAGCAAACTGAGATTGCGCCACTGCACTCCAGCCTGGGCGACAGAGCGAGACTCTGTCTCAAAACAAAAAAAAAGTGAAACGCCCCAATGGACTCTCTCCCCTTTGGACCCCAATGACTGAGAAGTAATTCTGAAAACCCACTGGCACCTCACAGGGGAGATTCCTGGGTCCAGATGTGGCAATCAGTGTTCTAGGTGAAACCCGAGTCTCCAATCAACCGCCAGTAATGAAAATGGTATTTTGATCACATTTGTCTGATTCCTGCATCTATTTCTTATGGAGAACTTGAGGGGAAAAGAGCCATGATTAATTACATGTTAAAACAAAGTTACGATTTGCTGACCACTTGTTATGTGTTAAGAACAGAACATATAAGCATCTCACGTAACAGCCGCCCTCGATCCCTCAACGCCAACTGACATCCGGCAGAACCGGCACTCCTCAGGGCTCTCTGATAAACCATGAGCTGGAAAAGGAAAAAGCTCTCTTCCACCGAGTATGGGAACGAATTAATTAATGAATGTATGTATATGTGTTTAAAGGAAAAAGGCCGTGTGAAGAGCCAGAAGTTGACTCTCCAAGTGACAGCTTGACCAGGTCCAGAGACCTTTCCTGCTCCCAGTGCTGGGCACGTTTCCATCAGGCCCAACACCACTAAACACCTGAACCACCCAACTACTTCCTTTCTGACTTCCCAAGTACCAACAGGTGAGACTCCAGGTAAGTCAGCGACAGAGAGGACAGGCCTTCTGGTCTACCCAGCAGCTCCGTGTCTCACCAGTGTTGAGTCAGGTGTTCTGGTGTCCATCATAGTCTGTGTGCTTGCCTAATGTGAGCCTGCTCCTAACGAGCCAGTCTGTCTACACAACCCTAAAGTTGAAGTGATGCACCGGCTCTCCCCAGACCTCTCAGTGAGCTGCCAAGGGGTCTCTGCAGGCATGAAGCCAACTGGCAAACATCTTGTTTCAAATTTCAGCAATAAGCCCAAAATGAAAGCATGAGTTTTCAGAGGGATCTCCTGCTATCATAAGTGAAACTTCCCTACACTGGCTCCCTGGGGAGGAGAAAGGGTGTCCAATGCCATTAACAACAGAACTGATCAAATGACCAGTAAGACTTACAATGAAGTGGAACTGCCAGGCGAGTTCCTGGTAGATATGGCAGCCCTTGCACCATGGTTCTAACGCTGGAGGAAGAGCACAAAGAATGTGCCCTACGGTGAGAGACTCAAAAGAGCAAATAAAGGTATCAGCTTTTGGCAAATCTGACATTACCAAGGAAAAACAGCACTTGAGAGGCAAATAACCCAACCTCACTTCTGGACCACATTAGGGGGAAAAGAAAGAAAAAAAAAAAAAAACTTTCCAATAGATAATGATGCCACCCAAATTCCAAATTCCAGTCCTTATTTTGCTGCTTAAATAATGATTTTCTTGGAGGGACTAGATCACTCCTCTTAAAAAAAAAAAAAAAAAAAAGAGGGTGGGATTCTGAAATTTGATATCTGTAAAATTAAAGGTTGTCAATGTCTATTCTAAAAGTTCATTTTAAGTTGTTTTGTTTAAACCCTGGAGGCATTTTCCGTAAGAATGTAGTAATGCAGGAGTAAGAGACTGCTGCTAGGTGGAGTCACCACATAATTCATGTAAGAGTTGTCGCAACTACATCCTGAAATGGCTCATATTCAGCTGTGGCTCAGGGCACTCAGGATCGGCCTGGGGAAATGGACCTTCAGCTGCTATGAAAAACCATTCTGCACACTGTAGGTTCCATATGCCCATTTGGGGAGAATCACGCTCAAAATTTTCCGACTTAGAAATGCATTGTGTAGTGCTGAGGTTTTCAAATCAAAAGCAAGCCCAGTGGTGCTTCTTTTTAACCTGACTTTAATAGTCTTGTTGTATTGAATCCAAGTTCTGTGTAAGTAATGTGTAGATTTCACAAAAGGTGGTGGTGCTGTCCACAGGTCACCTGCATTAGAGTCACATATCTAGAAGTGTAAATCTAGAGCCTCATCCTAAGTCCACTGGCATAACTCCCAGAGGCAGGGTCCTGGAAAGAGGTATATTTAATGGGCTCCCCAGGCAATTCCTCTGCACAGTAAAGTTAAAAGAATTTTATAATACAAAGAACCAGAGGTTTGGAGAAAAATGCCTGAGCTCATTTCCACCACAGACACATGCACCAGCCCCTTAAGCTCTCCTAAGCCCCTAATAACAAACTTTAAAATAATGGAAAAATACCTGCTCATCACAAGGTTACTGAGTCAAATCAGAGTACATTTGAACTTGCTTGGAAAGGGCAAAGGGCTAGACAAATACTATTCATTCAAAGCATGTAATGAATGTAGTGAATGACTAAAAAGCCAGTTGCTGGGGAAACAGAGATGAGATATAAAAACTTGGGAGACCAACATATAAATAATTCTGTATAATGAAATGAATTCAGGGCCATAATAGCAATATTTGTATGAGAAGGGCATGAGCCCATGGGCCGGGCGCAGTGGCTCACGCCTGTAATCCCAGCACTTTGGGAGGCCGAGGCGGGCGGATCACAAGGTCAGGAGATCGAGACCACGGTGAAACCCCGTCTCTACTAAAAATACAAAAAATTAGCCGGGCGCGGTTGTGGGCGTCTGTAGTCCCAGCTACTCGGGAGGCTGAGGCAGGAGAATGGCGTGAACCCGGGAGGCGGAGCTTGCAGTGAGCCGAGATCGCGCCACTGCACTCCAGCCTGGGCGACAGAGCGAGACTCCGTCTCAAAAAAAAAAAAAAAAAAAAAAAGAGAAGGGCATGAGCCCACAGAGAAAGATAATTAATTCTGCACTGATAACCCCCAGAATGATCACAGTTACCTACCCAAATATGAACGAAGCAAGGCATGTTATCAAATAGTATCACCAATAAGCTGATCCTGATCAAATGGGAACCAAAAGAAATATACAAGCTTCAAAAACATTCACGTCTTCACGCAATTACTAAATAAGTCATAGCCAGATTCCAATCCTGTCTCCTATAAAAATAACAACCATTTATTATATACCGGGTACCATACTAGAAACTCTGCATTCATTGTTTTGGAAAATCCTCACAATGCTCTCAGGACACTGGTGTGATGTCCTGGTACATGTGGGAAAATAATTCCAAGTGGTCAGGCAGTCATGGGTGAGCATGAATTCAGTGCAGGTTTGGTTGACTCTGAAGACATGGACTGGGAGCAGTGGCTCACGCCTGTAATCCCAACACTTTGGGAGGCCGAGGGGGATGGATCACCTGAGGTCAGGAGTTCAAGACCAGCCTGGCCAACATAGTGAAACCCCATCTCTACTAAAAATACAAAAATTAGCTGGGTATGGTGGCAGTTGCCTGTAATCCCAGCTACTCAGGAGGCTGAGGCAGGAGAATCACTTGAACCCGGGAGGTGGAAGTTGCAGTGAGCCGAGATTGTGCCAGTGCACTCCATCCTGGGTGGCAGAGTGAGACTATGTCTCACACACACAAAAAAAGAGACATGTGAATGTGGGGAACACCCAGCATTCATTAAAACGTCCACATTCTAAGAGCTTGTCTTTAAGGAAATTTTGTTGTGGTCTTTTGGCTGAAGGCTGCAAGACACATCAACCAGAGTTAAAGATCCTTTCTTCAGGCTGCCCTGAGAAATAGTTTAGGAGATTTTAGAAGCAGCACATGGCCCCACCTCATTTGGTGAGATCTTCATGATTGTTCTTCTGTCTACTGGAATTTCTGATTAATAACAATAATAACAGCTAAAATTTATCCAGCATTTATTCTATGGTAGACATTATGCTAAGATGTCTACATGGATTGCCTCATGAGGCAGGTGCTATCAACCAACCTCATTGTAGAGATGAAAAAACTGAAGTGCAGTGAAATTAGGAAACTTAACCAGAGCTGGGATTGGAACCTGATCAGCCTAAGTCCACCACTCTGATTCTCTATCATCTTGGATTTCTGTGGCTTGCACCCGTGGCCTGCTGTGACTTCATCATATCACAAGGTTCACTGCCATGCAACTATCTCAAGACTCTGGACATAAAATTCTCTAAGTACACAAATCAATAAGACTTTTGCTAATAGTCTAGCAAGTGAGTCTTACAATATTAGTTATGCATGTTGCAGGGATATACATCAGGTTTTCCACCTGATTAATTTTCTGGAATCCTGAGCAGCACCATTATTCTAATCCATCCACACATGCACTCATCACATGTTGAGTGTCTATTGCATGCCACGTACAGGTGTTAATGAAAAAGCCCGGCCCCTCCCAACCCGGGCTCAGGCTCCCCCTCACCTTCAGCTGTTTGACCTTCTCTTTTCAGCATCTGGACAGCTCCTACATATTTCTTCAGCTGGACTTTGAGCACCTCGTTCTCTCTGCAAGTACAAGAATGTTAAAATATATATATTTAAAAAGTGATAATGTGGACCCACAGGAGGGGGCAGGGGTGGGTGGTGAATCTGTGCAAAGAAAAGCACAATTTGCATCTTATAAATGTTAATCTATTCTCATGGTTTCGAGATCATCATGAGAGAAGGCTGTGTTACCACAGGTATGTTTGCAGAATACCTTCAAGAACTGTTCTTTCATGAGACAGATAAGCACCAATTGGTTCCAGTGTCCACAAATCCAGAACACAGACACAGGCTGTGCTTAGGCTGTTTGAAGCTACCCATCTATCAGGTGCCTATTCAGTGTCAGGAACTCTAGTCTTCTCTCCATTTACAGAAGCATGTACTGACTAATGTGCATTCACTCTGGGGAATGTTCTTAATATTTTTATCAACTGTGACATGTATTAAACACTTATTATTTGTCAGGAGTCATGTCAAGTGTTTGTACGGAATCTCCTTGAATCCTTCCAAGGCACTAACACAACCCTCATTTTACAGCTAAGGAGGCTGAGGCATAAAGAGAAGCAGTTGGACCAAGTCCACACCCACCCCCATGTAAGATTACACTAAGAAACACAGAACCCAGGGTATGACAGGACCCCACCTGCTGAACTCACTCCCCAGGTACACTGGCTGACAACGGAACGTGAGGACCAAGGGGAAAAATCTGCCATTTGTTGAGTATTTAGACTTTACATATGTCTCTTTGAACATATGTATGCATCCATTCATTCATTCATCCATCCGTCATTCAGCAGAAAGGTACTTCATTCAGTAGAAAAATGCACAGTGGCCTGCAGTAATCTCCATATTTTACAGGAGAAGAGTTGGACAAATAAGGTTTCTGACCAAGGTCACCAGGAAAACTCACTAGTAAGATCTGAACCCAGGTTTCCCTGCCCCCAAGGCCCACAAGGACTCTTCACCATCTCCTTTGAGATTCAGACTTGGTGTCTGACCATCTCTACCAGAGGGAGCTGCCTCTTGCACATTTTCTATTTCTGCCCCCACCCCCTACGCCTCAGGCCTTGAGCCTAAGTGCCTTTAAATGTGCTAGAGTATTTTTTCTTTCCTTGCAATGAAAAGAGCTGGAGACTGGTTTTTTTTCTGTGATTATAAAAATAAAAAACGCTCATTGCAAAATAATCAGAATACATTTAAGAAGAAAAGCAAAAACATGCTAAGACCCCAACATCTTGAAATAAACTCCATTAACATTTTTATATCCATCCTATTATTTCTCTAGGTGCACACACACATCCTAAACAATTTTAGGGGGATGAAACCTCCTTCACAATGCTTTAATTTTTGTGTGAATGTTTGAAGGCTTTTTTCCCCTGTTTACTGTTCCACTCAACACTTCCCCATGGTAACCAATGGCAAAAACCTAGTATATACCTTTCAGGCCTTCCTCCATGCTCTGACAATCACTACCAACCCAATACACTCAGAGTCTCTATGACAGAATAGTATAAATGTTTCTGAGATTGGGACGTCTCATTTAATAATGCACCACAGTAAGCCTCTCACTCAGTCTATTTACGGATGGAAATACCACCCACTGCTATAGATACGCCAAACACTGACTTAGTTGAAAAACTTGAAACTGCTCATCCCTGGTGCCGAGTGTCTGTTTTCAATGCATCTGACTACATCCCAGCCCATGACAACAGCACTTTCTTTGTATTTTGCTTCTCTGTGCTGTATTGTTGCAGAAAAAAACATCAAGATCAAACTCAGACACTACCGTAGACTTAGGCATCACCTGAGAACTTGACGTTCGTCTCCGAAGCTCTGGAGAAAGAAAACCACAAGGGAGTCCCTTAGTTATCCCCTCATCCCAGACAAAGCCTGTCATGGATGCCTCCACAGGTATCTGTACTTTCTCCATCTGTGACATGAGTTGCAAATGTTTGAAACGAAATAACAAGTCCTTAAAATGTTTGTGGGAGAGAAAATCTTCCCTGATGGGGATTATACAGGATGTTTTTTGTTTTGTTTTGTTTTTGAGATGGAGTCTCACTCTGTCGCCCAGGCTGGATTGCAGTGGCATGATCTCGGCTCACTGCAACCTTAGCCTCCCGGGTTCAAGCAATTCTCCTGCCTCAGCCTCCCGAGTAGCTGGGACTACAGGCACACACCACCATGACCGGCTAATTTTTGTATTTTTAGTAGAGATGGGGTTTCACCATGTTGGCCAGGCTGTTCTCAAACTCCTGACCTTAAGTGATCCGCCCGCCGCAGCCTCCACAAGTGCTGGGATTACAGGTGTGAGCCACTGCACCCAGTCTGTAGAGCATGTATTCTAGGATTCCTATAGCCAGAATCTCATTGCTCAGCCCAGCCTATTCCTAATCTCCACATGTGAATTCAAGTCACATATCTTAAAGCCAGGGAAAGAAAGGCATTTATACACATTTCTAAACAATAGTTCATGGAAGAACATTTTCCAAGAGGCCCCATGACCAACAGAAGTCATATCAGTGCTTGGAGGTCAGGTCTCCTCTCTCATTTGCTGCCAGCTGTCAGGCCAATCCTCCGCTTCCCTGTTCATCTTCAGCTCTGGGGCCAGCACTAAAATGTTTCAGATAGCTGCTTTTCTTCTGGTCTGAAGAAATCTTTTAATACTGTGTTCAGATTCTATCTAAAATCACACCTGGCTGGGTGCGGGGGCTCACATCTGTAATTCCAGCACTCTGGGAGGCCGAGGCAGGGGGATCATCTGAGGCTAAGAGTTTGAGATCAGCCTGGTCAACATGGTGAAATCCTGTCTCTACTGAAAATACAAAAATTAACTGGGCGTGGTGGCAGGCGCCTATAGTCCCAGCTACTCAGGAAGCTGAGGCAGAAGAATCACTTGAACCTGGGAGGTGGAGGTTGCCATAAGCCGAGATCATGCCACTGCACTCCAGCCTTGCGACAGAGCAAGACTCCGTCTCAAAAAAAAAAAAAGAAAAAAAGAAAAGAAAAAAAAGTGTTGCCAATGTGGAGTGTGGCAGAGTTGGACATTTGAGATGTTTGCACCTTCCTTGAAATTTCTCCTTGCTAGCTATGAAGTGAGAAGCAGCACAGCACCAAGACTCCCTTATAGGTAAAAGATGTGCCTCATTCCCAGAGACATACATGTATAGTGGGAAATATGCTTTTCAATCTGCAACATATGAGCACCTGCCTCTGAGTAGGGCACTTAATATTCGAGGTGTGGAAGACATGCTCACATTTTACCTACACAGTAACCCTACAAAACAGGTTATTATTGCTGCCATTTTTCCTTTTTTTTTTTTTTTTCTTTTTTTTTTTGAGACGGAGTCTGGCTCTGTCGCCCAGGCTGGAGTGCAGTGGCGTGATCTCGGCTCACTGCAAGCTCCACCTCCCGGGTTCACACCATTCTCCTGCCTCAGCCTCCCGAGTAGCTGGGACTACAGGGGCCGCCACCACGCCTGGCTCATTTTTTGTATTTTTTAGTAGAGACGGGGTTTCACTGTGTTAGCCAGGATGGTCTTGATCTCCTGACCTCGTGATCCGCCCGTCTCGGCCTCCCAAAGTGCTGGGATTACAGGCTTGAGCCACCGCGCCCGGCGCTGCCATTTTTCTTACTGCCTTCTGAAGACCAGGAGTGGTGGCTCATGCCACCCACCTGGGAAGGCCAAGGCAGGCCCATCACTTGAGCCCAGGACACTAGCCTGGGCAACATGGTGAAACCCCATCTCTACAAAAGATACAAAGATTAGCTGGGTGTGGTGGCATGCACCTGCAATCCCATCTACTTGGGAGGCTGAGGTGGGAGGATCGTTTGAGCATGGGAGGCGGAGGTTGCAGTGAACAAAGACCTAGCCTGAGTGACAGAGTAAGACCTTGTCTCAAAAAAAAAAAAAAAGGAGGAAAGAAACTGAGGCTCAACGAGGCTAATTGAACTATCCAAAAACTGACAACCAGCAAAGGCAGAGCCACAGTTCACTTCAGCCTCTCCATGTCTATGTCCCTCTCCTCTCTGCCACATACTTGGTGTCTAATTAGATCACCAGCAACACATCATGAGGTTGGTTTTACTGTGCCCATTTTGCAGATGGGAAATTTGAGGCCCAGAGGGTCTAACAGACACTCCAACCTGGGATTTAAACCCATATCCTTTAACTTCAAAGTCTCCTATTACATCATAAACGTTTAGAGAATTAAGTGAACAGGGCAACATTGAAAACGTAAGGCCTAGAAAAACTCCATGAGAAAACGTGTGCTCATCAGCACAGGTCTGCAGAATCTCTTGGGTGGCTGAGACTACTGCGCAGATGTGAACAGGATCCTCCTGACCAGCTAGCTTTGCTAAGAGAGGCTAAGGAACTTTCCTCGAGTTAAGGAGCTCAAGCTTCTGCTGCCAACCCCTTTAGACATCTCATATATGTAAGCAGTTAGTCACATGCGAGCTTTAGGAAATATGAATCAACAGCCCCAAGAACTGTAACCTTCTGACCCAGCAACTCCACTTCTAAGAAACTGCATTCAGAAAAGAAAGAAGTCTCAAAACCATATGCATGAGGATGCTTTGAATATAAAAGAAACTGGTTGCAAATTAATTGTCTGACAATGGAGGAGTGGGTGGAAAAGTTATGGTGCATGCTCCTATAATGGGATGCTATAGGATTGTCAAGGCTATGATAAATATGTATGTTTATCCCCAGGGATAAATATTATATATATATATATATATAGTCACACTGATATACCATTAACTGAATGCAACAGAGTATATTTACTCTAACCCCTTATATCTATTTAGATGGATATATTTGCACTGGAAATGTAGAGACCACAATGTTAACAGTGCTCATTTCTAGATGATAAAATTAATTGGAAATTTTTCTTTAATTTTTCAGCAATGCACTTTACTAGAGCACTTTTTAAAATGTATTAAGAGGTTAGAAATACTCACCCCCAGGCCAGGTGCAGTGGCTCACGCCTGTAATCCCAGCACTTTGGGAGACCGA